TAAGCTGCTCTAGTTGTAGTTGTCCCTTCCTGTGGCAGGTGTTGGAGCTTGAGGAGCTTTAAGCTCTCTTTCAACCCAAACCAGGCTGGGGTTCTATGATTTTTTTTCTCTTATCTAGAAAATTCCTAGAATTTTCCAACACTTCATGTGCAAAATATAACTGATAAACTAATAATAATTTGCTTGTTTTCCTTGGAAATACAAAACAGTAGCAGAAAGTGGGTTATGGGTTTTGGCTTTGAATAGTGCATGCACTTCAGTGTTCACTGTATCTGGAATAAGATGTTTTGCTACTACCAGCAAAGAAAATGGACAGTTTTTTCTAGTTTCCATCTGAATCATGAAGAATTGTCCTTCTCTTCCACAGTTCTGACTGTGGAAATGGAAATACACGTGATCTTGGTTTCATCTAGTAATTCTCTGCGCAGGAATTAAGACAGCAAAGTGTTCAGTATTTGCACAGTAGCTGTAAATGTCTCGCTCCAGTCTTCATTTAAGTGCAAACCAATACAAACCCAGTGATTAATGGATCAAATCCATCCATGGCTGGAAAACATTTAAGCCAAATCATGTTTAAGTCTGAAATGTTGGTGGCTCTGCTCCCTCCTGCCCTCAGGAATGCACGTGGCTGGCTTCTCACTAATGTAGTGGTGGAGAGTTCAGCCATGGTCATTGTCCCTCATGTTCTCTGCTGGCCAAACGCTGTGGGTGCTGGGTGGTCCTGATCAGATCTTCCCTGGATCTGTTAGATCCTCTTTGATGTGCTAGGGTGATGCCTTGTTTGTAGGACTTCTCCTTGTAGAGCATGTCCTGTCCTCCAGTGCCGTGTCCCAGGCTGTGGGGAAGGGTGGAGGCAGGTCCCAGCAGGCAGAAGGCAAAAAGCTGGGTTCCTGGCTGCAGGAAAATAAGGAATTCTTCAGTGCAGATGCATTGAAGAATTCACTAGTGGTGTGGAGGGACAAGACTCTCAAGCCACACAATGTCATCCCTGGGATTCCATGGGACATGAGTTCCATGGGTTTCAACCTTGGTCCATTCTTTCAAGAGCTTTGGGGTGTGAGGTGGTCACTGATTTGCACCCAGAGAGACTTGGAGCATCCTGTTTATGTGATACTTGCATTAACCTTGAAAAGGATCAGGTATTAGATTAAATCTGCTGTGTGTGAAGCAGCTGAGATTTCTCTGGATTCAGTGTACTCAGAGTAGCAAATGGATCCTGATGATCCAGGAATGGCACTTCCAGCTCAAAGATTTCTGCTTCTCAGTGTCAACAAAATCTGCACCTCATCCTTGCTGAGCAAAATGGGAGCAGACACTTGGTGTGCTCACGGTGCAGTGTGATGGCAGTGGGGAACCACAGAAGCTCCTACTCAGCACTCAGGTCCCTGCTCACTTTGCTGAACACGGGGAATGGGAAAAGCCCATTTCCCTCTAAGAGCAGCTGGAAAGCACCCAGCACTGCAGAGACAAGGTTTGTTCTACCCTCTGGTGCAGTGCCAGAGGCAGCAGTTCATTGAAGGCTTCCATTGCCTTCACCAACTGCACCAGGTCTGCTCAGCATCAGTCCCAGACTCCCTGGTTACATGAGTTTTCCACGGTGTTTTTAGTTTATCCCAAGAGCAGATGCCACATGGGAATCAAATCATGAGAGAACAATTATTTGCCTCACCAAGTGCATAATAATTCTCACATGTTGGGTCATGATTGAATTGTGCTTCCTCTCTGCTTTCCCTCATGGTGTAACATGTATTCAAGCAGCTAAGAAAAGGCATTTCTTTACCTATAATTTGAGCTGTGGGTATAATAATTTAAGAACTTAAATCATGGTGAAGTGAAACACATTTTTGGGTAACTGATGCCCCAGGAATGCTCTTAATGTTTCTACAACTGTGCTTCGTAAGAAAGCATCAGCAGGATGTTAATTTCTCTTACAGGATGGCAAACCAGTGAAGAAGTGGGTGAACATGAGCCAGGAGTTCATAAATCAGCACACAGTGGAACACAAAGGCAAACAGATCTGTAAATACTTCCTGGAAGGGAGGTGTATTAAGGTAATTGTGCACTTGTTGGTCTCTGCTTTGCTGTGAGGAAAGGGGGAAGATGCTCTGTTCTGGTTTACTTCAGCTGATGCAAAGAAAACCTGTGTTGAAATCAGTGTTTTGGTGTCCGGTGTTTTGAGAATTGATGGATAAATGCCAACTTGTAGGAAAATATGTTATACATTTTGAATTACAACAAATTCTATCCAAAATATTGGGTTTGCTTATTAGTATAGACAGTACAAACATCTGTGCTAGTACCATAAACTCATACTGCCAATGCATCATGTAAATGCACATCAAGTGTGGAGTGTGTCAATAGGCAATGATTCTGAATGGATTAGATTATTTCTCTTTATGTGCCACTGTTAATTTTCAGTAATTGAAGGAATTGCTTAATGATGCTGAATTACTTCTCTCTCCCATGGAAAAAGTGGGGTTGTAGCAATAGTTCCCCTACCAGAGAATCATCTTCCTGCAGGCAGCAAGGGGAAGGCAGGAGAAGGAGGAGAATCCTCTTCAGAGCAGTCAGCTTCAAGCAAAGCCCTTCCAACACAGTGTCTCATTGCATCAATATAATTGCTATTGCTTCATTTTGAAGCTTGTTCGTGCTGCTGGGGAGTTGAATCCTCTGATGTCAGAGTACTTCAGTCAGTTACAAACCACACTCGAGAGGAACTGCATGCTTCCCAAGGGAGCGTGTCATTTATTTGTGGCTTCTCTGTGTATTTAGAGGTAGAACATTTTCTGATTCTTTTTCAGATGGTGAAAATAAAGGTAAAAATGCCTTTTTCCCAAACCAGGGGCAGTAGGAAACAATCATTTGCAGCTGCCTTTCTGTATTCTAGTGTGTCCTGCTCAGGGAGATGAGGATTTGCTGCCACCTTCAGTTTTAAAACAATAAAAAATACACTTAGTATTTTTTTGTGTTTTTCATTAAAATTTGTGTTATTCATTAAAATAACCACAAAAACTGTGCATAAATCCTCTTCCCCTACACCCTAATGTGTAATGTGGTGTGATTGATAGAAACTTGATATGATTTGGGCTCTATTCTTGCTCCATGGAAGAGTCTTTAATACTTTGCTTGTTGGACTGTAAGTTCTCCCACCTCCCCTTAAAACAGAATCAGGTTTTCTGACCCTTAGTTGTTTATATGGAAAATAATGTCAGTAAAATACTTGTTTAAATGTCTTTTTAATGCAAATTTCCAGTCAGAGGCAGAGAAGAGACTTGGGACTGTAAGAGCAGCTTGTTTCCTGTAAGCACTGCCTGTATTTTAAGTCCCAGTTCAGGCATTGTTTCTCTATGTCCAAGCCCCCCCTAACCACAGTTTTAGTTTACTTCTAATGCAGTTCTGTGTTAGTGAAGATAAGAAGCCTCAATTCAGCAAAGGAGGATGTTTTGCTTTAAATATTGAATGGAATTACTCAGCATTTCAGCTGGATAATGGTTTTTTTTGGTTTTATTTTTAGGGAGAGCAGTGTAAATTCGATCATGATGCAGAGATTGAGAAGAAGAAGGAGATCTGCAAGTTCTACATACAGGGTTACTGCACCAAAGGAGAGAATTGCATTTATTTGCACAATATCCTTTAAAAAATAATACTTGAACTAAACTGCAGGTTTATATTTACTCTTCAGTGATGTGATTTTTAAGGCTGGCTATTTCTTTCCTTAACACACTATACAAAAGACTCTGTAGATTTACTACCCAAAGATTGTTTTTGGGGGGGCATCAGGAAATAGCTGTGAACCTACAAGAAACCTGGAGAGGGGCTTTGGACAAGGCATGTAGGGACAGGACAAGGGGAATGGCTTGAACCTGCCAGAGGGGAGATTGAGATGAGCTCTTGGGCAGAAGCTCTTCCCTGTGAGGGTGCTGAGGCGCTGGCACAGGGTGCCCGGAGAAGCTGTGGCTGCCTCATCCCTGGCAGTGTTCAAGGCCAGGTTGGACACAGGGGCTTGGAGCAACCTGCTCTAGTGGAAGGTGTCCCTGCCTGTGGCAGGGGTTGGAGCTGGAGGAGCTTTAAGGTCCCTTCCAGCACAAACCAGGCTGGGATTCTGTGATTCTACTCTGGAACTGAGACCTTCATCTTTTTAATCACAATTTTAGAGTCGAGTCAAAAATAACATTAAGGCCACAGTAATGTCATTATTAGTGTAATATTAAATGGAACTGGGAGGTAAGGTGGTTATTAGCTTTCAAAGTTCCTAACGTACTGCTTTGGAAGGATGAAGTGCTGGTGAAGAACTGAAGAATAGCTGAGAGCTGCATTTCATAAACTTCCCAGTGTGATCTAGAGATGAGCCTTTGTTAGGAATCCTTAACACATTGCTTACATGAGTTCCCTTGCAAGTTCTACCATACAGGAGCTAAGTGCTATCAAGGAGATAAGTGCAAATTTTCTCATGCTCCCCTGACTGCAGAGACAAAAGAGCTGCTGGATAAGGTGAGCAGTTTGTGCCCTGGGAACAGGAGGCTTGCTGCTAAAGAGAATGAGGGAGGGTTGCTGGAAAATTCCGTGTGATTCTCAGGGAATGTGATGCTAAACACTAACGATGTTAAACTTCCCTGTTGCTATTTTGCATGGTAAGTCTGTGACCAGGTTCAATACCAGGAATTCCCTTTCCTAGCAGTCGTTTTTAGCCATATCAGGCTTGTTGGTTTTCCCAGCTATGTTTCTGCCCATGAACTTTCTTTTGTGCCTCTGTCTGTGGATGTCTTCATGGACTCTGTAACAAGAAGGGTGGCTTTTTTGTGGCCTACCTTTAAGTGCTTAGAAGTTAGATATCACCTGACTGACTTCTGCACTCAGATGGAGAAAGGAATGAGGTGCCTCCTCTGAATGATTCATGAAATCCTGACCTTTGGGTAGGGTGTTTGTGTCTTTCTCCACTTACCGTACAACAGCCCTTAACAGAAAGTGATGTGGATTTCACACTTGAGACATTATGGATCTTGGAACAAGTCCTTCACCTTCTGTCACTTAAAATTACTGTTTGAAGGAAATGGACTTGTGTGGAATTGTCCCTTCCTGATGCAGAAACAGTTTCACCCTGACCGTGAATGGGTGTCCTGCAAAGGAAGTAATACTGGATTTATAATCAGCCTGAGTTTGATGGTAATAGTAGTATCATAGCAGGTAATCAAATAGGAAGTGCAGGACTAAATTGAACCGCATATGCTGCAAGGTTTATGAAGTGTTTGCTGCATTCCTGTGTTTCAGGTTTTGAATAATGAGGAGGAACCACAGAATGAAGATGAGAAAGAGCTGGAGGAGCTCCGAAAGCGTGGCATAGTTCCTCTCCCAAAGCCACCACCGGGAGTGGGGCTTCTGCCAACCCCACCAGAGCAATACCCCTTTTCAGAGTCTGACATGGAAAACTACCAGGATCCATCAGGGGACTACAAGAAGATCCCATCTCTGTTTGAAATAGTTGTAAAGCCAACTGTGGATTTAGCACACAAGATTGGGAAAAAGTAGGTTTCAGAACTTAGTGTAAAACCCTCCTTTGAACATGGCTGCATGAATAGTTGAACAGTTCTCTTTGCTTCTGTCACAAGTGTGCACTCCTGAGTGTGTTGCTGAGTTAAAAGTCCGGTCAAATATTGGCTGTCGTAATCATCTACTGCTTTGCTTAGAAGAGACCTTCCTGGGCATTGCCCTTCCAGGAATTCACTCTGTTGGCTCTTGGTTTGGCTCTGTGCCTGCGTGCGTATCTCCACTTGCAGGCTGAGCAGTTCATTCTCTTCTACCACCCCTTTATAGTTGTAGCTACGGACACTCCTGATGGAGACTGTTGGCCTTGGGATGTTTAAAGCTCTTTGCTGCAGCAGATGTCCAGTTCTGCATGTGCTGATACGTTGTACATATTCTACTTCAGACACCTCTGTTGTGTTACGATGAATCGTTAGTGTATGGAGTTAGTCTCTTTGAAAATGACTTTGCTTCTTTCAGATTTTAATGCAGCTTAAGATCAACTAAGGACAGATGTGTAAGAGCGAGGAGGGCAGGAGATAGCTAACAGGCTGCTGACCTTTGTAGGTGCAGAACCTGATTTACTGATTTCCTTTTGCCTGCAGGCCACCGACCTTCTACAACAGTGCATCGCCCCCGAGGCCGCCGTTCCAGGGAAATGACCCACATTCCCAGCACATGTATAACCCAGGTTCAAGTCCAGGACCAGGACCTGGCATGTCCCAAGGACATAACGGGCCACCAATGCACCCAGGTTCTCCTGGACATCATCCGTGTGGAGGGCCCCAAGGCCCGGGCATGCCGCAGAGTCCTCCCATGCAGGGTGTTCCACCAGGCTATCTCGGACCACAGAACCAGACTGGTATGCCTATGCAAGGACAGCAGGGTGGTCCACCTCACACCCCTCCAGGTCTCGGTGGATCTTACAATGCCCCAGGAGTTCAAGGACATATGGTGAACATGCCAAGAGAGAATCACTGTCCTCCAGGGCCACAGTACCAGCAGATGCCTGGAGAGCGGCAGCCCAACATGAATTATGAGCCTATTCAGAACGCAGCTGACTTCTATGACAATTACTATTCTCACCAAGCTGTACACAACTTCCAGCCAGCCAATAACTCTGGGGGTAAGGACACTTCCAAATTGCTGTTCCTTGATCTGGTGCTTTCAGTGGTGTGCTGTTGAAGTATCATGGCTCCAAAGCTGAGCTGCTGAGAGGATCTTGCATAGAAAGCCAAACCTCCTGGAATGTCTTCAGTGTAAAGGTGTTTTCAGCTGATGCTTTCCAGTCGTGTAATATATGTCACATTCATTTTACTTGATGTGGTTTATGTTTTTAACTTTACAAGCTTGTAGAGGATAGCTGCTGACTGGTGCTCTTTGTGCTGCAGATGGACCATGGCATGGAGAATTCACAGATCACCAGGCTCACCTCATGGCTCAAGAGTCACATCAAGGTGGAAGCGAGTCGGACTGCATGAGTAGCCACATGGGCCATAAGCCAGCCATGAATGTACCAGATTTCCTTCCAGCAATGCAGAAAGCCCTTTATGCAAGACTTAGTCAGAAGCATCAGAGAGATGGAGACTCAGTCAGCAGCCAGGGGCAGAGGGCAATGAGCAAAGATGAAGGTAAAGTCATTTTGTTGGAGTTCTGAGCATACTGACCATGTCTTAGCCTGGGACATGGATTTTATTACCTTACCACTCACAATTACTGTGTTTTCAGCTTAATGTACTTGCTTTCCTCCCAGCTTGTTCTAGGATGTTAGTGTAGGGCTTAGTTGCATCATTCCGGTTCCATGTAGAAAGATCCATGGATAAGTTTTGGGTATAGTTTGTGCTTTTAAGAGGTTCTGTTGTGGATAACTCACTTCCTTCTTAAAATGCCTGCCTGAAGCAGAGAGGTTTCTAACTGCCAGTACTGTGAGGGCATCTTATTCTGTTCATACAGTTGTGTCTTGATCTTTCTTGCATATTCCATATCTTTAGAGCAGTAGTTTTCCCTCTGTGATAGCTGAACTTTGCAGTGTTAACCTGGATGTTGGAGAGCAGTAAGCCTGCTGATCAGGTCCAGGCAGAGAGAGTATGCTTGTTCCTTGTCCTGCTCCCTGCTGCACCTTCTTCTGAGCCTGGTGGGTTATGTGCCCAGAAATGCTCTGCGACCAAAAGGCAGTTGCTGTATCCACTGTTAGTGAGGACATGCTGCATGCTGTGGTTTCGAGGACACTGCCAGTGTAATTCTGATCGCATGGTGAGAGATGTGGAGATGCAGCCCTCCAGGCTACAGAGAACACCAGAGCAACCGGGAGTAACCTGCTCTGAGCTGGAGGCTGCTCACCCGAGTGACGTGTCCTCCTGTCCAGAGGGCTTTTGGAAAGCAGCATAATGGGAAAATGTTCCTGTCAGCTCCCTCCAGCAACGTGCCACTGCCTGTTGTTGAGTGTTGGTGTGGTTCAACTGGCAGTGAGGGAACGGAGAATGATAGAATCACCTGGGTTGGAAAAGCCCTTTCAGCTCATCCAGCCCAACCGTTCCCAGCCCTGCCAAGGCCACCACTAACCCCTGGCACTGAGGCCTCGGCTCCACGGGCTGTGAACACTTGCAGGGACGGTGACTCCAGCCCTGCCCTGGGCAGCCTCTTCGAATGCCTGAGCACCCTCTGGGCAAGGAATTGTTCCTCAGCTCCAGCTAAACCTGCCCTGGGGCAGCTTGAGGCCGGTTCCTCTTGTGCCATCCCTTGTTCCTTGGGAGAACATGTGTTACTGTGCATTAAATACTGGGAGGGTGGGGGTGGGTTTGTCTTCATTTCTCATTCTGCTGAGCCACAACAGACACTAAATCTTCTTCAGCAAGCAGGTGAATTTAGGATGTGGAACTGAGCACAGAGCTGTGCTGATGAGGCTTTCCAAGGAAATTGCATTCCATAAATGAGAATTTATCCTTTAAAATGAAATATTCTTCCCTTCCGGAATCTTGAGCTCTAGCTAGAATGTGGTGATTTGGATGTAATAAGGCAGCAAATTCCACATCTGTAATTGATCTGGTTCTAAGACTTCTCAAGGTGTCATTTTACTTTTCATTCTGCCATCCCACAGTGAAGATCAGTTTCATCAAGACTCACATTTTAAATGGGTTTTTTACTAGTACTGGTAGAAATAATTGTTTGAAACAGGTTATTTTCCCAAGTTAATATTGACAAAGGGAAGGCAGCCAAGCTTGGGAGCATCTCAACTACCTACAGGGTGTTTTTGTTACGTCAGTTCTTTGTTGAACTGGATTTTTGTCATCTTAGATTACGGTTATTATGATAACAGGGAGAGATTATTTAATATCAGGTCTTTTCAGTCTGAGGTTGCTCAGAACCTACCCTTTATATCAATAAATGGGCTGTACTCCCATGTGATTATTTTGCTTGACTAATCTTGATTTGGTGTTTTCCAGATGACAATGTCAACTGGTATTCCAGCAGTGAGGAGGAGGAGGGGAGCAGCGTTAAATCAATCCTAAAAACCCTAAAGAAGCAAAGTGAAAACTTCCGGAATCGGCAGCAACATTCCGCAGAGCAGCACATGCTTGGAATTCCTACCGACCCCCGGCTGGCGAAGGAGAAGGGAGCAGGGTCCCAGGCTGCTGACCCCAGGCTGAGGGCCTCTCCCAGGTCCAACCCGCGGAAGCCTTCGGAGTCCGGGTCCGTGGACCCACGGCTCCTGCGAGATCCCCGGATGCACAAGGTCAGTGAGGGTGCTCACGGCAGCTCGGCCCTTGGGGGAGCAAAGCTTGACCTGCACCACGCTGGAGTCAAGGCCAAGCAGAAGGGGATGGATGATGATGAAGAGGACTCTGAGAGAGAGCTGCGGGAGCGAGCTTTCCTCATCCCCTTGGAGCCTTTGCCCGGTGTGACGCTGAGGGATCCGCGATCCCAGCTCCGGCAGTTCAGCCACATTAAGATGGATGTTACCCTGATGAAGCCAAACTTTGCTAAGCATATTGTATGGGCACCTGAGGACTTGCTCCCCATACCTCTGCCTAAGCCTGACCCCGTCTCTTCAATCAATTTACCTCTCCCTCCCCTCATTGCTGACCAGAGACTGAACAAGCTGCGGGGTTTGAAGAGCGATGCCCATGCGAGCGCGCTGCCGGCCGACCCACGCCTGGCTGCCAAGGCAAAGAACAGCCTGGCAGCCCGGGGCAGCTATTTGGATCTGGCTGCAGATTCCCATGCCAGCAGCTCCAGCAAGCTGGGAGATCCCCGCTTACAAAAGAACGTTGATCCCAGGCTCCACAGACTGTCGAGTGCAGACACACATCACGGGGTCGCAAAGGACTCCTCGCACCCTGCCAAGTTTGACCCCCGCCTCGCCAGGTCTGCTGCTGGCTCCTCACAGCCCCCCGAGGCTGCCACTGCAAAGCCTGAGCCGGATGCTCTGCCTCCCTACGCTCCCAAACTGGCATCCAGTGGTGTGAGGCTGGGAACTCCGGGCTCGATCCTGAGCGGTATCAGCCTGTATGACCCACGAGATCACGGCTCGTCACTGGACACGGCTCCAGCTGCTTCAGGAGAGAATGGAGAGAACCAGAAAAAGAGCATTTTGAAAAATTCCGGTAAAAATGAGCCCGCCGTCCCGGAAGATTCATCCCTGCAGAAGGAGAAACCCCCGGAAGGAGCCGGCTCCACAGAAGCTGCTCCGGATAAAGCAAGCAGCAGCAGCAGTAAACCTCAGGCCAAACACTCCAGCGCTGCCCCCGCGGTGCACAACCTTCCCATCCAGGCGTTGTCGGGGCTGATCCGACCCCAGTACAGCGACCCCCGGCAGGTCAGGCAGCCCGGGCAGGGAACTCAGCCCCCGGAGCCCGACCCCAACGGGGAGTCAGATGATAAGTCCTTAAAAGATGTTTTCAAGACTTTTGACCCCACTGCTTCCCCCTTTTGTTAGCGATCGAGTCTTTTTACTGTTGTGAATATCGCAGGTTTCTGCTGTTTTGTAACTGGTTTACCTCTTTGCTTTATTTATTTGTAAATTATAATTCTCAACACTTTTCAGCTGCTAATCTCAGAACCACATGCAGTCCTCCAGTCCGCTCTAGTGTTTGCAAAGCTGTGGTATTTTCTATAGAAATACTTTTCCAAGTTCAGGGAAGACTAATAATTGACATGTAGAACCCCCCCCCCCCCTCCCCCCCCCCCCTTCCCCTCCCATGTATCGTGTTAGAGCTGATTCAAGCACTTTCATTGTAAATAAGCCATGAAGAAGAACCCCCCCGGAGCTGTATATGTGTGAGCTGTCTCTTTCATAAAGGCCATGTAGATCTGATTGCCACATTTGTATGATTGTATAGACACGAGCAATATTATGTACATTACTGTGAGAGACAAGGATTGCTTTGACCAGGATTGTCCGACACATCAAGCCAAACCCAACAAGTGATTCCAAACCCCATGGAAATGCTTTCAAGAGGAAAACTTTGCTCCTTCTTTTCAGATGAGTACACGTGAGACATTGTTTTTACTCACCCACTCGATATCCTTAGTGTAAAAGAGACCTATATCACATATTGAGGATGAAAAATGTCATATCTTTTAAAAGTATTTTATTCTATGCTGTATATAGAAGAAATTGTGAAGTACATAACTAGAAGAAAGGTCCTGTTCCAAGTGGAGAATACTTCAGTTGTCTAATACAGAAAAGGGTTTTATTTAATTTTTTTCCACTCATCCACCCCTCTGATTAGTGCTCTGAGTTACATTGTGGTGTTCATGTATTTCAATGTATTTTTGTATTCAGCTGCTTAATTTGTATTGCTTTTTTTGTATGGATGTAACTGCAGTACTTGTATTCATGGTGTCTTTATGACATTTTTAACAAAACCATTAAAAAGGGTACAGTTAAAGGCTGGTGGCTGTGCTGGTGGCAGGGGAGGGAGCTGTGGGGTGTCTCAGGGGCGCAGGTGACCAACCCAGCCCTGCAGTCACTCGCCTCGTACCAACCCCCGTGGTGTCAGCTCGCTGCTCCGGGATCGGCCCCTGGCTTGGAGACAAGTCATCGCTGGTCTGCTCCTTCAGTTCAGCATCCTTGTGAGGGAGGAGCCATGGTGGTGCATGTCCTTCCAGCGGGGAGAGCACGACTGACCTCAGAGCCCCTCTTCTTCTGGCCTCTTTGGGCTGCTTTTGCTGCGGAGGGAGCATTGTCCCCCCTCGCTGGCTGCCTTGGCAGTAAAGATGTGCCCTCAGTCGCCGCCTGGTTCCCGAGCACTCGGAATGTTTCTGTGCATTAAGTCTCTTCCTCAATGGACCTTTTCCTCGGTGTTTGTTGGCCAAGGTCACACTTGCAGCTGGGACAGCACCGTCTTCATCACAGATTCCAAGGTTTTGGGTTCTTGGGCCTGCCAGAGAGGCAGGAATACAAATGTGTCGCTTGGATGTGCAAACCACGGCAGAGGAGACACTGCTGAGGGCAGTAATGGTTTCAGTTTGCCTCCCGCATGTCCCAGTGATGAATTGTATTAATTTGCTGATATTGTGAATTGTGCTCACTCAGAATAATTGAAACTGAGATGACAGACATGGAACCTGATTGTTGGTTTGGAGTGATCTGTTAGTGCTGTGTAACTGCTGCTTATTACTTCATCTGGTGACAAGTTTGGCTGTTCAGGAGTTTCATCAAGAACACAAGCCAGCAGAATCGGACAGCAGGAAAAGCAGGAATAGTTTGGAAGTAGCACATGGATCGATAGGGGAGTAAAGGGAAAAAGTGATGGTGTTGAAGCCAAATGGTGGTTGCACGAAGTAGTTGGAGGATGCGCAGCTCTAACGTACAGTTACAACTTCTTGTGTTGATGCCACCACTGAATTGGGTTCTCTGTGGGGGTTTTTTTGGGAGTACTGGAAAAATACATAGTCAAAGGCAAAGGTTTGGTACCAAGAGCAAAATAGTCCGTCTTAAAGTTGAGGTAACCGCAGGATCTCAAGTCTGGTTATGGACCCATTTTGGAGTTGCAGCATGTGGTCTGGTAGGGGCGCACAGGGTGCTGGCTGCTACCTGGGGGATCCTTTGCCATCTCCATCTCTAATCCAATAGCATTCTGTATCTTGGAAAAGAAAAGGTACAGATAAATTGGAAGGGGGCAGCTGGTCCTTGCAGCCTGTTGTCTCCATGTGTAACCATGATCCATCTTCCAGATCCGGCCTCCGTCAGCCTCCCCAGCTGCAGCACCAGGGGCTGCAGGATGCTGCCGGCTTCTCCATCCACCTCTGCTTGTTGGTTCATTCCTTACAGATTCCTCCCCACAGTCTGGTGTGCCCACGGCTGCTGCTCTCTCCCGAAACACGCGGGAGACCCGTCCCTACAGTGCAAGTATGAAGCTGTCTGGTACAGGGAAGGTGCTGGGGCTGTCGGTGGGGACAGTGCTGTTGGGCTACAGCCACCAAGCAAGTCAGGTCTGATCTGCTGTGTGGATTCACTGTGTGTTGTCTCTTCCCCCAGTGCAGCGCGCATGGAGCAGCATTCCCCTTGGAATTCCCCTCGCACCCCTGAGCTGTGGAGAGCAGGAACAGGAGCAGCTGATGTTGGACCTGGGTACTCCAGACACCCGTAGCTGCGAGGTGGGTGATACCACATGGAGTATTTTACCCAGGGCTGAGAGTGATGTGGGGAGGAAAGTCTCAGTTCTCTGCAGGAAAATGCTCCCCTCTCCTGCTAGCCCTGGAGATGGGAAGGAGTCAAACGGTGGTGTCTGCTCTTGTCTGCTCCTGCACTGCAGGGAGACGGAGCATTGCCCAGTCACTGCCTGGTGGTTGCTGCCCTAGGATAAAAATCCTGGTTTATATTTTCTCTATGGTGATGAAAAGACTCAACACAAGTTCTTCATAGTGCAAATTAAATCCATTTATTCTTGCAAAGACAGAACAATACACTCCTGTTTTGTGTTTCAGATCTCAGTGATCCCTGATTAACTCCCTTAGGCTTCCTTCTCATTCAGTGCATCTTTCCTCTAGCTTCTGTAGTGCATGTTACCCTCTTGACTGCATGTCTAGTGTATGAGCCCAGTGCAGTGGCTCTTCTGCAGGGCTCTACCTCTCTGGCTGCCCTTCCTGTGCTGTACTTAGGATTGTTACCCTGAGAAGAAAAGGGGATGGTTGCAAATAAGTTTGATAAAGTGCTAAAGATCAGGCCCTGAGAAGGACCATCCAGCTCGGTGGCTTTCTCGTGTGGGAGATCAGCCATTGGGTTGAAAGAGAGCTTAAAGCTCCTCCAGCTCCAACCCCTGCCCTGGGCAGGGACACCTTCCACTAGAGCAGGTTGCTCCAAGCCCCTGTGTCCAACCTGGCCTTGAACACTGCCAGGGATGGGGCAGCCACAGCTTCTCTGGGCACCCTGTGCCAGCACCTCAGCACCCTCACAGGGAAGAGCTTCTGCCCAAGAGCTCATCTCAATCTCCCCTCTGGCAGGTTCAAGCCATTCCCCTTGGCCTGTCCCTACACATACCCCCGAGCCAGATGTGCTGGTGGTGCCATGAGTGTGTTTCTACATCCTTCTGTTCACATCTTGAGTGCTGAAGAATACAGAACTGGCAGGCAGCGAAGGTACCTCATCCCATGCTGCCTGCCCTCTATCATGGCATCATTCTTCTCTGTTCACTCACCCAAAGGAAGCACAAATCCCTTCTTCTTTCTACAGGTGGCCACCCATAAGTGTACATCCTTTAACAAGCTTTGGATGCTTGGGGGTGTCCTTGGTGTGTGGTGCTTGTTCTTGCACCATGGCCACCAGGGAGGGTTCAGCCCTGGCCCGAGTCCTGCGCAGCCCCAGTTCATCCCTGTCTGAGGTGAAGGACTCCTTGGCTCTGTGCAACAACAGGTTTCTTCTCCACTGCATGCAAAAAGCAGCTGCTGCTGCTTCCTCAGAGTCAGGCGGGGGCTGGCACAGACCCTGTGAGATAGAATATTTGTGTGCTTTAATATAGCATGCATGAACTCGTTTGAAACACCTTAAATGATGTAGAAGTCTGAGTGTATCAATGTGTGCGAGACCTGTGTGGCATCTCTACCTGTTAATGCTTTAAAAGTGCTAAAAAACCTGCTTACAGAATGAGAAAAGGAATGCAGGAGGGGTAGTTTAGGGCAATTTCCAAAGGGAAAAAGCCAGGTTGTAAAGGAGTTCATAATCTGGACAAAGATAAAAGCAGGGCTGGTTCCTTCAGGCTGACGTCACTGAGAAATGGACACACACCATGTTTTTAACAGTAATAAACCACAGGAGGAGCTTTTTCACCCTCGTGGCTGAGTGTCCATCAAATAGGGTTCTAACGAGAAGTGACTCTTCCAGGAAGACTCGGAAAGCTCAGCACAAGTTGTAGGATTACACAGGAGACTGGGCACAGGGTGGGAAACCACCTCAGAGGAGGCTCTGGTTGTACTTGTGCTGTTCCTGAGTGCTTTCAGGTAAAGCTGCTCTCTCAAACGGTACAGGTGGATCAATCAGCCACCCAAGGGAAGCTCTTGGGGGTGTTGATCAAAGCTCATCTTGAGATAACAAAGGCTAAGACCAACATGGACCATTTCCAAATACAGATCTCCAATGAGATGCTGCTGCTCTCCTGACCGAAAACAAGATGGGAGACAGACCAGCTAAAAGGACTTCAGAGCTGGTAGCAGTGACAGAGCCTATTGATGCTTGGAAAGATGCGTGGTGGGCTTTGGAAACAAGGCAGAGAGGCAGGAAATAAGATCACAGGAGCAAACAGGTCCCACGGCAGGCAGCTCCCACCTCCCATCACCAGGCTTGGCTGTAAGAGCTCCCCACAGCACGGACTCACCTTGCGAAGCCCATCTGATGCCATCAGCATGGACTTACTTTGATACACGCCGCCTCAGCTGCCTTCAGGATGTGCAAAACCGCTTGAACAAGGTTCTGTGTGTTGCTCACGAGCAGCTCGG